ACGTCCTCCCGTGTCCTCCATGTCCCCTCCCACCCTCCCAGCATCCCACATCCCCCATGTCCCCCCATATCCCCCCTGTCACCCCATGTACCCCCACAATGTTCCCCATGTCCCCCCAGCCCCACCACATCACCCTGATGGCCCCCCCCTTGTCATGTCACGTCCCCCATGACCCCCCAAATCCCCCCATGTCCCCCTATCCCCTGTGCCCACCTTGCAGCCCTCACAGGTGATGACTCCGTAGTGGATCCCCGAGGATTTGTCCCCACAGATCTTGCAGGGGATCACCTCGATGTGGGCTGGGGGACACGGGGACACTGTCAGGGGGGCCCTGGCACAGGGGCCCTGTCCTGGGGTCCCTGACATGGGGACACCTGTCAGGGGTCCCTAGCAGGGGGTCTTTCTCATGGGTCCCTGTCACAGGACACCCCAGGCTCCCGTGGCACACGTGGGATCTGTGGTGTCACCTGTGTACCCCTATGCTGTCCCCAGGTTCACGTCACCTGTGGGACCAGGTGTCCCCCATAGGCTCATGTGTCACTGTGGGCTCATGTGTCACCTGCAGGACGAGGTGTCACTTGGGGGTTCACATGTCACCTTTGGCTTTACATGTCACCTGTGGCTTCCCATGTCCTCTGTGGCCTCATGTGTCACCTGCAGCACCAGGTGCCCCCCATGGCCTCACATGTCCCCACATGGGCTCATGTGGCCACTGAACTCCATGTCCCCTCTGCACTGACGTCACCCATGGGCTCACACTTCACCTCACGGCTTCCCGTGCCCCCCCCATGTTCCATGTCGTCCTTGGGCCCTGTGGCACCACATGTCCCCTGTGGAACCACTAGTGCCCCCACGTTGTCACCAGGACTCACATGTCCCATGGGAGCAGCCGTGCCCCCTATGGACACAGGTGTCCCCTATAGGCCCCGGGGTTCTCTAGGGGCTCCGGGTCCCCTGGGTGCCCCCCTGGGTGGCCCCCATGACCCCGCGGTGGTGGTGGAGCTGTGACAGTGAGAGCAGCGAAGCCACAACTGGGACACGGGCAGGAAACGCAGCATGGCCCCAGCACGGCACTGGGAGGGTCCCAGTACGGCCGAGCACAGCTCAGCACGGCCCTAGCACAACACTGGGAGCATCCCAGTATGGTGCAGCATGGATCCAGTACAGCACTGGGAGGATCCCAGTATGGCCCAGCACAGTTCAGCACAGTCCCAATAGGGCACTGGGAGGATCCCAGTATGGCCCAGCACAGTTCAGCACAGTCCCAATAGGGCACTGGGAGGGTCCCAGTATTGCCCAGCACAGCTCAGCCCAGCCCCAGTATGCCACTGGAGTGGCACCTATATGGCCCTGGCACAGCCTTGGCATGGCCCAGCCTGACACACCCAGGAATGCTCACGCCTGCCCTGGCACACCCGAGGATGCTCGTGCCCACTCTGACACAGCCAGGGATTCTCGTGCCTGCCCTGGCACACCCAGGGATGCTTGTGCCTGCCCTAGCACACACGGGAATGCTCGTGCCCACTCCTGCCCACTCCCACGTGCCCTCTCCCTCCGTGTGCTCTCTGCCCATCTCGGCTCGCCCGCAGCGGCCACTCTGGCCGCACACGCGCGTGACCCTCCCGCACACGCGTGACCCTCCCGCACCCACCCGCTCCACCCTCCCCCCTCCTCCTCCCGCGCCCGAATCTGCTTCGTCGGCGTTTTCCACCCGCCCCAGTTTTGGGGCCGGCACCGCCCGCGCATCCGGCCGGGGGGGGGTCGGGGGGGCACCGGGACCCCCGCGGCCGGCGGGACCCTGGGAATTGGGGGGGCTGAGTCAGCCCCGCGCCCCGAATTACTCACCCGTGCCGGGAAGCGCCGCTTCGGGGCCGCTCCTGCCGGGAACCGCCGGGCAGAGGTCGGCGAGGTCTCGGCGGCACCGGCGGCACTGGGGGGCTGCCGATAATGTGGGGACCTGCCAGTGCCACCCACCGACCGCACCGGGGAGCACCGAGGGCATTCGGGGCACCGAGAGGCTGCCCATAATGTGGGGAACTGCCAGTCCTCCTGGATCCCAGCGCACCGAGGGGCACTGGGGGGGCTGCCGGTAACGTGGGGAACTGCCAGTCCCACTGGCACCTACCGCAGCTGGGGGCACTGGAGACACCGGGGAGCTGCCGGTATTGTGGGGACCTGTTAGTCCCACTGGCACCCACTGACCGCATCGGGGGGCACCGGGGGCACCCCAAACTGCATCCGGAGCACCGGGAGGCACTGAGGGATACTGGGAACGTGGGCACCTGCCAGTCCCACCAGCGCCCACCTCAACTGGAGGCACTGAGGGGCTGCTGGTAACGGGAACGTCCCCCGTTGATGAGGCTGTGAGCCCCCCCAGCACCCACCGACCTCCCCCAGCACCACCGGTACCCACCAGGACCTGAAACCTCCACCAGCCCTACCAGTACCCACTGGCACCCACTGGCACCCACTGGAAACCACTGACCTCCACCAGCACCCACTGGTACCTATTGGTTACCCACTGGGACCCACCAACCTCCACCAGCACCCACCAGTATCTGTCATCCCCAGCCCACCAGAACCCTCCAGCACCCACTGGGACCCACCAGCATCGGGGGCACCCACCAGTTCCACCAGTGCCACCAGCCCCATGGACCCGCTGGCCCTGGGGCACCCACTGTCCTCCCCCGCTCATGGACCCGCTGTCACCCCCCAGCCGCGGGGACACCCCCAGTGTGCCGAGGGACCCTCCAGCACCCACCGCCCCCAGTTCCCGAACCCTCCCGCCCCCGGCACGGGCGGGGACAGAGGGGACACAGGGGGGACCCCGAGCACCCAGGGGTGCGTCCCCACCTTCCCCGGGACAAAGTGGGGTGGCTGCGGGGGTGGCGCGGGGCCACCTGTGCGTCCCAGTGTCGCCGCTGGTGCCACCCCCCGTGTCCCCCCCCCGTGTCCCCCCCGTGTACTCCCCCGCCGCCACCACATCAAAGGGTGCCACAGGTGCGCGGGGGGACCCGCGACCCTCAAAGCGGGCGGGGCAGGGCGGGCACAGCTGCGGGACGGGGGGGGAACACAGTGGGGACCCGCGACATGTGTGTGACCCCCCCAAACATGCATGTGGGACCAGCGACACAGGTGCCCTCCTGTAACACACGTGTACAGCCCATAAACACCCCGTGTACATCCCATAACACACATGTACACCCCATAACACATGTGTACAGTCTGTAACACACGTGTGCCCCCATAACACACGTGCACAGCACACAAACACGCCATAACGTGTGTACACCCCGTAACGTGTACACTCCACAACACGGAGTAACACACATGTAACACACGTGTGCACCCCATAACGTGTGTACAGCCTGTAACACAAGTGCGCACCCCATAACACACATGTACACCCTGCAACATGCGTGTACAGCCCATCACACACTTGTGCACTCCATAACATGCATGTACAACCAATAACACGTGTACAGCCCATAATATACATGTACAACCTGTAACATGTGTGCACAGCTCGTAAAATGTGTGTACACTCCATAACATGCATGTACAGCCCATAAAACACGTGTACAGCCTGTAATACACCTGTGCACCCTGTAACATGCATGTACAGCCCATAACATGCGTGTACGACACATGCAGCCCCACCCTGTGACACGGTTGCACACGCCACAACATGTGTGCACACTAACACTCATGTCCAACGCCTCTCACCCCCCTTACACACCCCCTTTGCACACCCCTTTGTGTTTCCCTCCTTGCACACCCACCCCTTCCACACACCTCATGCTCACACATATGTGTCCAACGCCCCCCCCTTTTCACCTCCCCGACCCTCTTACACACCCCCACGCCCTTACACCCCCCCTTTGCACACCCCTGGGTGCTGCCCCCTTGCACAAACCCCTCTCCTGCACACCCCCCTCACACACGTGTGTCCAATGCTCCCCACTCCCTTTCCACATCCCCCTGTCCTCTTACACACACACACACCCCTTCCACACCCCTTTGCACACCCACCCTCTCTCACACCCCCCACTCTCACACACGTGTGTCCAAGGCTCCCCACTCCCCTTACACACTTCCTGGCCCCCTTAC